TTAAAACATAAGACCACGCAGAAAATTCTTAAATTCAGCCTTAATTTGCCCACGAAACACACAGTCGCTGCACTTTAACAGTAAACTCTCTGGAGCGCTTCGAGTCGTTCTTCCCGACATGAAAGCCCCACATCAAATGCAAAGATCACCATTAATATAATTTGAAAGACTTTTTAAGGCTTCCAAGCTAGAACTAAACATCGACGAGTAATCAAAATGTGGTGCAATCGGACATTTCAAAGCACCGGTTTCAAGGCCGTGACGCTTTGATTTGCCGGTGTCATTGGAACAAATGCACACGCATTTCTATCCATTTGCTTCACCGGTTTCCTTTCGTCATAATGTTCATGATGTTTAAGATTTCACCGGCCAGCCAGAAATAAGAGCTCAATCCTCTCTTCATCAACAGGAACATTCAGACCTTTACTTAACACTCCAGATTAGCAACTCCAATCTGCTTTGACAGTTTTTTTTTTAAAAAAGAAACCCTTAAACACTTTACAACGTTTCCACAGTCGGATAAAAGATCTGCTAAATGCAGACAGATAAGGAGGGCCGTTTTTGCTCCATCTATCATTTTAACCTCAGCTCACTCCTCCAAGACTTCAGAAGGCAGGAACTCAAAATAACATAGACAAGGTCACAGGAAGAATTTGCACAGACTTCAATACAGAATTGACAAAACAAGCTGGTTCTCTTTCTAGCAGACACCTGCAGCAAGAATTTCTTCAGTCTCTCAGGGTAGAGATATTGACGGTGAGTGCGAATATCTGGCACGGTTAGAGAACAGCAGCAAACGGGACTTAGCGGCATGAGGAAAATCTGGTTCTTGTAGGTTTATTACTCGAGCTATTGGCGCAAGGAATACACTTGGCAGAACGGACAAGGTGTATGTTCTTAAAAAGTCCCTTAAAATCTTTCTTCGGAACAGACATCTTAAAGTCAAGCCGATCAGAGTTGTGACCATCCTTTAAATGTAATAAAAATTTACGGCAGACAATTTTTTAAGTAGAATTAATCTCCCCCCTCCCCCCCCACCCCCACCCACCTCGACTCGGAAAACTTGCCGCACGTAGAACTCGGTTATATTTCTCCCCCGCCTCTTTCCGCTCCTGAAAGAGCGAAGTTGTACTGCAGTACGTTTCTGGGACCACCCTCCGGTGCCTCGCTCAAAGAGCTATTATTTACGTGTGAGCCTGGACAATGAGTTATTCAACCACGAGGGCCGAGATCATCGCAGCCAGGCCCTAGTTCAGTCCTTGCCCAATGCCCAAACGCTGCAGTTTCCAACATGTCAGTGATCAAAGGCTTGAAATTTCACCTCGTCTCGGGCCTGCAAGACAACCTCGGGTTAAAATTTCAAACGGCGCAGAATTGTAAAACTTTCGTTGAGTCCAGAGCTCATTTGGAAAATCCAGTTCTTTTTTTTTTTGTTGTTGTTGAAGAACTGCAGGAAACGAACTGCCAAATTAAGACCGGATTTAAGAACTTTCTGCAATTCTGCACAAGCTTCAAAAAAAATCCTTTCAAGACAAAACGATCTCGCGGGCTAAGATAAGGGGGAATTTTGTGCCCCAGGACTGGAAATCCTGGTTGATTTACTACTCCCCGAGGTGGCCTGCTGTGAAATTGCTACCATGTTGGCAGCCAAGCACCGGGATCAATTGACAACAGACAACGTGATCTTCCTCAGTCTGATGCGCTTTTCACGTTGCAGTGTTGCTGACTTTATAGACGTCGTTCCAGTGTAACACGGGCAACGCTACTAACTCCAGGGGAACTCAGCCTTGGGGTCTTTACAATCGCTCTGGAGGCACAAACAGGGACCTGCCACCGCATCTCTCGCTAAAGCACCCTAAAACTGGCCAGCGCCAACAATCTTGCGCCACCGGCTTGCACGCAGCCCTTTCCCAAGAGATCAAACAGAACACCAAAGTCTGACCTTACCCAGTGACCCGGTGAGTAATTATAAAAAATAACAATACGTTCGGTATATTGCCTTCCACATCAGGAGTGCATCTCAAAGCCCTTGACAGAATTTACTGTGAAGCGCGGTGACTATGTATTTTGTCGGCGAACGAGGCAGGCAATTGGCGCACAGCAATGTCCCTCAAACAGCCATTAACTGATTGACCAATTTTATTTTGGGGGTGGGAGGAGGGGAATTGTGGCCACAACACCAGGAGAACTTCCTTTCTCTTTAGAGATCCACGGGATCTCTAACGTCCGCTGGACCTTGGTTTAATGTCTCATTTCACCACCAGTGTTGCCAACCGATCCCGGCTGACACACAAAAATTACGTCCTGATAAACAGTTGGCCTTATATTCTTGGTTCAAATCACGGTCTGTGCTAATTTTTTTTTAGCTTATTTCAGCGAAGACTGCAGATACAGTTGGCCCTTAATTTATAATAATAATAATAATCCTTGCATTTGATATAGCGCTTTTCACGTCGGGAGGACGTCCCAAAGCGCTTCACAGAACACACTGTAAAGTGAATTGACTGTATAATTGTGGGCGAACGCGGCAGCCAATTGCGCACAGCAATGTCCCACAAACAGTCGTAGATTGAAAATGACCAATTTATTATTGTTTTTGGTTTTGGAGGGTTATTATTAGGCTCTGTGTGGAGTAAGGAAACTTGCCCAAGGTTTCGCCCTCTGCCTGGAATTGAACTCTCTCGCTTGCAAAGCGAGTGCTCTAACCACTGAGCTACAGGAAATTCCTCTCCTTATCCCAGCGATAAGGAGAGGAATTTCCACCCTTTTTCCAAACTTTTCTCTCTACTCTTCTCCAGGAGAGGATGCGGACTCCAGACACGCCGTTTGGTGAAACGAGCAGCTGATGTAGAGAAAAGGGTGACAACAATCTGCCAGTCATCTGATAAAACAGGGGAATCAATTTGATAGCTGAATCCAACCTATTCCGCTTGTAAAGCAGAAACAATAATTTGTGTTTCTACATTACTACTGTAAAGGGGTTACGAGCTTCCGTCAATAAATTCTCCTCCCCCCCATACACATCTCTCTAAGGAAGTTTTTCCTGCGCCCTCTCCGACAATCCTCCAGGTAAATTTGTCATTCGCTTCGCGGCTATTTGCGAGGCATTGCTGCGCACAAACTGGCTGCCACTTTCGCTCACAAAAATCCTTGCGACTGCACTTTGCAGTGTATCCTGTGAAGCGCTGTGGGACATCCTCCCGACGTGAAAGGCGCTTTTTTTATCAAATGTAAGGGTTATCAGAATGGGCCAAAGGGCCAGACGTGTGATCCTTTCACCTTCAGCAAAGCAGCGAACCAGGATACCTCTGTGAAGCAGTGCAAGTCGATCCCTGAGTTCTTTGCGTTTTTCTTCCTGTGAAGAAGCACGTTTCTGTCCCATTCTGTGACTTCGACACCCCCCCCCCCGACCCCACAAACCCCACCCACCCCCCCCTATCCCTTTCCTACTAGCTCCGTCACAACCAATTTCTAAGGCATCCCACAATGTCTGCGATGGTTTCACAGACCCAACGCTTTCCTTGGGGTTTGTGGGACACTTCATGCGCTCCTATAGTCAGCTCCCCCTTCCCCTGCTGGGTGCCTGACCCCGTCTATGAAAAGCACCCCATCTGCTCCACCCACCCCCCTACTCCCCATCTCCCCACCGAGATGTTATCTTGCGTTATTTTAGTCACATTGCGCAACTGTGTGAAGTGGGGGGTGGGGGGCGGTTCTGATTCGAGTGCTCTATGACACTGTGGATGGCAGAGCACCAGTCGCAATCTGCAGTCGAACCATCTCAATCTGTTCCCGACAACGGGCAAAGCGGAATGAAAGAATCTGGGAAATTCTTGCTGGTTCTTCCGATTTGCCCGGAAACTGCCTTCCCACGTAACTGGGAGCTGTACCAGCGTCTGATTTTACATGCTTCACGATGACTCAGGCTGTAACCCCGCACCCTGTCACTTTCCCGCCAGCTGTACTGTGCCGTTCTCCTCGGGCAGACGTTGACATTTGTGGGGAGGGAAAAAAAAAGAACGCCAATCGTTCAATTGACTTCGGGCGGAAGAACTAATTCAACATAATAACAGATCTGATAACAGTCCTTGTATTTGATCATGGGCCTTCTCTGTCCTCACTTTGAGAAGACATCTCAAAGCACTACAGCATTTGCTGCAAAGTGTAATAGACGTGCAGTTTACAGGTGAATGTGGCAGACGATTTGCTCACAGCGATGTCCCACAAACCGCAATGAAGCAACTTTATACCTCGGGAATTGCTGGCCGGGATCCCGGGAGAAACTCGCGGCTAAACATCCCGGGTGGAAAGAGAACAGAATTCCACGAAGCGCCGAGTTCGGAGAGCGATTTGCAAGACACTTGAGGCCAAGTGACCATGGCTTTTTACGAAGTAAGATGATTACCTTGAAGTGTAGGCGGCTCATTGCATTACAGGCGCGAGTTCATTGTACAGACCGAACACTCACTGATGCCTGCGGAGGGAGGGGGGAGTCGTGCACACAAGACCGCTTGCAACTTGCATACAAATTTCCCATTACATGACGCTTTGCATTATAGATTCAATCCAATTCGCTAAAGGTAATGAAGAATAGCACAAAGGCCACGGAGTAAAATGAACAATTGCTCCCATTTTCGGGGGATGGTGGTGGGTGGGGGGGGGGGGTGTGGGTGGGTGGGGGATGGGATGGGTGGGAGGCGAGGAAAGCGTTTGATGGACTGGGGCAAAGTGAACGAGCAGATGTTTCCGCAAAGAATTTCTTAGACGAATTAAATGAAGCATAAAATTACGAATTAAATAGGCTTAGCTGCCAAAAAAAAAAGGTGCACAGAGCAAGCAGTCCTCTGCATTGCGTTCCGCTTAAACCGTTTTAAATGTAAAGTTGATCTGTTAAACAGCCAATTCAATTCAGTCAGGATTTTCCCACAGACGGCCAATGTAGCTTGACTGGTTGAATTCTGCCCGCAATTCTATATTGCTGAACACTGTAATCTCCTTACCTTCTGTCTGTAGGGACAACAGCATAATCAGGGACACGGGAATCTGCCAGATTGGATGTGCGAGCCAAACCATCCCTTTCGGAGCTGTTCTAACCCTGGGAGCGGGTTTCCTTCTCCACGCGTAGGGGGGGGGGTGGTGGTGGGGGGGCAACACTGCGTCGTTCAGCTGTGAACCTCTAAGCGATTCCCCCCAACGAAGCCTGTGATGGAAACGCAGAAGACAAGACGGTTACAAACTGGCCCTGTCACCAGCGAGAGAGAGAGAGAGAGAGAGATAGAGAGACGTCTGTTGGGACACCTCATGGGGAGGACAACAGCAGAAGGGTAGCAAGGCTCTGAATCCACAGCAGGAATGGATTCTCTCGAGTCGGAACATGGACTGCGAAGGTGGGGGATGAGAACACCAGCCCCGGTCTCCAAAAACCAGAAAAGCAAAAATACCGCTCGTCGCACGAGTGCGAACAGTATCGACCTGGGGTGGCTCGGGTTGAATAATAATAATAATAATAATAATAATCCTTGCACACCTCCTGGAACAGGCAGTTTAAAAGGGTGCAGACAGTCAGCGAAGCAGCTGAGAGTTCCTCTCTCTCTCTCTCTCTCTCTTTCTCTCCTCCCTCCCTCTCTCTCTCTCCACTCCGTTCAAGTTTCGCAGAAATCCACATCACTCAACATATTCGCTGCACAGAGAGGAGCCGACACAAACCTTCCCTCCCAATGAGAAGACCATCACTTTGTTGCAAGTAAACAATCCCCCCCCCCCCCACCACCCACCACCCAGTCCTGATTGGCCCTGGAGATATTCTGAGCACGTTTTCTTCAGCTTTCCAAATGCCAAGCTTTCCAAATTGAAATCCTCAGACGCACACACACACACACACACTCACTCACACGCACACAAAATAGGAGGGAGCAAAATTCCACCACTTGTCCTGGGCACACAGACAATGATTTGTTTTCTCGCTTGCTCCGTCCGTCCGCTCTGGAGTGTTGACTGTCACTGCTGATTTGCTCTCAGGCACGGATTACATGTGATGAGGGGCTGACCTTTATTTTAAGGATTCGCGCATTAAGCCCTCGTAGTAAAGTAACGGAACACAAAAGTCCCCTCACATGTTCAAAGCATCAATCAGCCCTCGCAGTACGCAGTCTGCCAAACCTTTTTTTTTCTCTCTCTCTCTCTCTCCACTAAACTCAGGAGGAGAGAGAGAGAGAGAGTGAGAGAGAGAAAGAAAGAAAGAAAGAAAGAAAGAAAGAAAGAAAGAAAGAAAAAAAAGAAAGAAAAAAAAAAAAAAAAAAAAAAAAGAAAGAAAAAAAAAAAAAAAAAGAAAGAAAGAAAGAAAGAAAGAAAGAAAGAAAGAAAGAAAGAAAGAAAGAAAGAGGGGAGGCCTTTGTTTAACGCAGACTTAATAAAGTTTAAAAGCTAGACACGGTCCCTCAATATCCCACTGTCTTTTCTTTTCCCCCTTTCAGAGAGTCACTAATGATAATAATTATACGGAGCGATGGGCTTGCTCTATCCATCGCTCCCATTGTCCGCAGCGTTGCGAAAACACGCAGATTTATTTTGTGTTTAAACTCCTCCTGCACCTGTAGGTGCTTTACGAGCAGGACTCAGCTGCGAATTTCCGCCGCGGTCTAACAGCTTGGCGAAACTCGCTGTCGAGGCCTGGATGACAGACGGCCAGGACGAGGTACGAGAGGGCATTCGGAGCCTGTGAAAGTGTACCCCAGAAGAGAGACGGAAGGGAGTCAAATGTTTACAGGAGTGGAGGGCGGAGGGAGGGAGAATGTTGGTGCTGAGACACCAAAAAGACCCACTGTAGAATGATGACTGTAATAATAATAACAATCCTTGCACTTGATAATAGCGCCTTATCACGTCGTTAAGACGTCTCAAAGCGCTTCAGAGAATACACGGCAAAGTGAGCTGACCGTATATTTTGTGGGAGAGGCGCGTTCAGCCAATTACGCACAGCAGCGTCCCCACAAACAGTCGCGGATTGAGCGACCAAATTGTATGATATATTTATGTATATATGTGTGCATGTGTATGGTAGAAGTGAAAGAAAAAGTGAATGCTGGCAATCCAAAACCATAACTCAAGGGCTAGAAAAACACACCACCTAAAAGAAGAAAAAAACAAGTTTATATTTTGGACACAACTCTGGCCAGAACAGTTTGATCCCAACAAGGGGCTTACCCGAAATGTTAACCAATTTGCTGCTTGACCTGCCGTGGATTTCCAGCGTTTCTGTTTTTATTATCTTATCGTGGTGGTTCAGAAGAAGGTTAATAACCATTGAAACCTTCTCTTGGGGCTTGTGATGATAGATTACCGCCTTGAAATCGCTTCCAGGCATCTGTTAACCTCAATTTAACACCAACTGCAACAAGAATTTAGTGCTATTCTCGAGCACTTTTAACTGAAGCTGTTCGCTGTAATGGGTTAACACACTGGGGTCTAATGTGCGAGGCTCGATTATTTGACGAAGGGATTTGTCAGCAGTTGGCACCACTGGTACCCGGACTGGACTGAGGCTGACACGTTTGAGCTCATCTCTTACTGGGCACCGGAAACCTTCATCAGACGCAATTCGGGTTTCCATTCACAGAGGAGATTGGCGTGCAAGAGAAGTGTCAGCCTGCGACAGATCTGGGTACCTGCAGGACGCCATACTTAAAACATCCTTTCGCAAACCCTCATGAATGAGTCCCCCCTGGCCCTTCGTCCCCATCGGATGGGTCCTCTCTGACAGCTTTAGTGCGGTGTCACACTGCTGTGTGAGAGCTGCTGGGCAGAGGTTGAGTGCAGAGCAGCCCTGCTGAAAGGCTATCAGCAAGTCACCTACTGACTTAGGTTTGAAGCAGCCCAGCTGGGTTTGTGCCGGAAGAAAAAAAGGTAGCTACCGAGAGCGCAGCAAGGATAATTTAGGCACAGCTCCTCTCTAATCTGTTTCTCCCTCAATCCCACACCCCGCCTCGCCCTGCTGGTAGACCAGGTGTAACCGTGTCCAAGGCTACAGAACCCATCGAGGGATTGATGACAAGAGACAGGTAGATGATTGAGAAGCAGGAATACTAAAGGATTCGCCAAGCAGGAGGCAGGGAAGTACAGGGTGTCCACAAAGTCCTCTTAACTCTCGTCACAAATACTGCGACGAGACGACGGGGGTTCTGAAACAAGCTGCCAGAGACGCATTTCGGTGGGGGGGGAAACTACCGTGAGGGTAACGAGACTTTGTGGATACCCTATAGTAATCAAGGGAGCAGTGACATTCAGTGCTGTGGATGGCCTGTGGTGAAGGGGGCTTGATGGACCAACTCTCCTGCTTCTAAATACCTATGTGGACAGTAACCTTCCTGGTTAGAGCCACACTACGCTCTGGGGTCCTCACACCTTGGCTCCTGCCAACCTACGCCTAATGCTTTCCGAAATTAGGTAAGCAGGATGAGTCCTGCCAGGGAGAGAGAGCACATTTCAATGTGGTTCGGATACTCTTAAGCACCCTGATGGGTTTTCTGTGTATGTCAGACACCCAGCTGACTCCAAAAACAAAGGAGAAAAATGATTTACCCAGGAGACAAGTTTACCAAACGCCTTTGGAATACTTTTTTCACAAATAAGATTTCATTCCCTCATTGAAAGTGACACTGAGTCCAGTAAAATTTTGCTCGATTAAATTTGTGCTTTGGCAGTCCTGTGAGTCGGTCGCAGACTTTATCAGCCGTTGAACAATAGGTGGTCTTTTTTTTCCCCGACTCTTAATCAATGGCTAAAATTATTTCGTTACACGCAGTCACACCACACCAGAATGTCTGCGCTGATGAACCTTAAAGATCCTGAGGTACTATAATGAGCTATAACAAGGTGTTCTCCCTCATCCAAACTGTCGCTTATCAACATGCTTTTTCTGAGGGGGGGGGAAGACTTACTGGTGCAGGTATTAGCCGACTTATCGAGTCACAGCAACTCAAAGTAACTCACTGTGTGAATCGTTCTGAGACGTTCTAACGCGATACGGCAGTCTATTGAAAAGATGTTTTGTTACTTAAAATGTGCTGGTTGCAAATATCAGTGTGCATTACTCCTGTAACTGGTTTGAAACTGCTCTCAGATGTAACGTATGCCTTAAGTGTTAGAAGGCGACCAGATGTCACTGGGTTAGTCAGCATTCTGACTCACCTGTCACGTAATGTGGGACCACTGAATTTCCAAGTGTCCAGATCTCACAGCTGCTTAATGTACCATTATCAGCATCCAGAGACTATTTAATGTCCCGCTATCCATCTCTCGGGACTGCTTAATGTCCCATTATCTGCCTCTGCTACGACCGACTACACAAGCACTTTGTCATCTGGTAAATTGTCTCACAAAACAATTTTCCGAGCTCGGTAAACAGAAGGAGAAGCAGCCAATCTGCAACCTGATAACATCATAGCTCCTGGCGTTGCAAAGCAATTCTCTTCATCTTGGTTTCTGGATGCTAATGCAAAGCAGCCAGCCAATAAATAGCTCGTTGCTTTGCCTGGCACCGCTGGATAGGAAATATTTCTCCAAATATTTTGCAGCCTTATCAATACCGTGTACGGCTGTCACATAAAGGCAAGGGAGTCCTGTAGCTCAGTGGTTAGAGCACTCACTTTGCAAGCGAGAGACCTGAGTTCAATTCCAGACAGACGGCGAAACCTTGGGCAAGTTTCCTTACTCCACACAGAGCCTAATAATAATCCCTCCAAAACCAAAAACAATAATAAATTGGTCATTTTCAATCTACGACTGTTTGTGGGACATTGCTGTGCGCAATTGGCTGCCGCGTTCGCCCACAAATATACAGTCAATTCACTTTACAGTGTGTTCTGTGAAGCGCTTTGGGACGTCCTCCCGACGTGAAAAGCGCTATATCAAATGCAAGGATTATTATTATTATTATTAAGGGTAGGGAGGGGGGCAAATTATCCTGGGAGTGTGGAGGGTCCATTCTTTTATCCTTTTACGACTGGAGTGGTTATAATAGGCTATAGCAATCTCACAGATTTCACAAGATCACAAGACCGGTGTGGATGAACACGGTTCCTTCAGCCCATCTGATTTCATCCCTCCAGAAACCACACCACACCTCCCCACGTCAGTGCATCAAGCTGCTTTTTAAACAAGTCTAGCGCCTGGTCTCGACCACTGTCCCTGAGAACCTGATCCAGCTATTAATTACCTGAGTAAAGCAAAACTTCCTGATGTGTGGCCTGAATTTGCCCTTTGCAACTCCAGAAACTACGTCCTCTCGTTCGACTTCTGTGGCACATTCGGAAGTGTTAATCTGGGTTTACTTTTCGATCCCTTTAAAATGTTACCCAACTTGATGAGATCCATCTGAGTCGTTTTCTTTCAAGATTGAAGAGCCCCAGCTTGTCTAATCGTTGTTCATAGCTCATCGCCACTGAAAGCTTTGTATTGCTAATGTGCACAACATGGGCTGCTTATCCTTCGCTGTTTAACACTGTCTCTCCAGTCCCTCTGCATCAACACATAGCGGAGGGAGTGTGTTGCGCATGTGGGGCGGGGGAGGGAAGTGAACGCAGAACACCAGATCCGTCAAGGCAGCAGAACAAGAGGACACAGGTGCAGGGTTTCAATGAGCCATTTCATAACACTCACCAAGAAGTACCGAGACCACCCACTTGGTGTTCCTCAAATTGTTTCTTACATGAGTTAAGGGACCCTTTAATAAATGTCGGAGTCACTTTATTGCCTTGATGTTTAGAATCAGAGAAACGTACAGCAAAGAAGAGTCCTGTAGCTCAGTGGTTAGAGCGCTCGCCTCGCAAGCGAGAGACCTGGGTTCGGATCCCGGGCAGGGGGCGAAATGTTGGGCAAGTTTCCTTACTCCACACGCCTCTGTTTACCGAGCAGTAAGTAAGAACCCGGTTGTTAGTCGATTGGCGGATCGTTTTTCCGGTGGAAATAATTCCTTTGAAAAAATAAATTGGTCACT